AGACCCTGTCTTATTTTCAGGGAAACAGGGTATATAAAGTAAAAAATAGAGTGGGCTCATTGAATCAGTGAGGATTTGATGAGTCACTGCCTCCGTAAGTTTCTTTGATTCAAGGAGCCTATTCTAGTTGCAACTTAATTCTTGATTGCAGCTGATGTTTTGTTTAAGGCAAGAAACAGAATTTTACATCGCCTTGTCCCACTGTTTTCTGGGTTCGAGTGTGTATACTTAAACGTGGGTGCCTGGGACAGAATAAGGATTCTGTTGGTATACCATCCACCCTTTCTGAGTTGACTGAGTTGGTATCGCAGGTGATGTTGGAGTCCTTTAGGCTGGTAGTACTGGGGGACTTCAATGTCCACGCTGAGACCAACCTATTAGGAGCGTCTCAGGACTTCATGTCCTCCATTACAACCATGGGTCTGTCCCAAGTGGTTTCTGGCCCCACACATATAGCAGGACACACTCTGGACTTTGTATTTCATGCTGGGTAGGATGATGGTGATCTGGGTGCGAAGGAGATCTCTGTAGTTCCATTGTCATGGACAGAAACTACCTGGTGAGGTTTAGACTTAGTGGAACTCTTAATCTCTTCAGGGGTGGAGGACCTGTTAGGATGGTCCACCTCAGGAGACTGATGGATCCAAGTGGTTTTCTGACGGTTCTTGAGGAGTTTCCTGTTGCCTCGACAGGCGATCCTTTCGAAGCTCTGGCTAATCTCTGGAATGGGTAAATGGCCAGGGCGGTGGACACAATCGGTCCTAAGCATCCTCTCCCACAAAGTAGAGCCAGGCAAGCCCCCCTGATTCACCAATAACGGAGATCAGTCATTCTTTCTTTATCCCAGAATCCCTAGTCCCTGATACCTGCAGTGCTTCCTAGTGGCTGGTTCATTATGACTGCATTTCCCTTCTTGCTGCCGGTTCCTAAATGCAGGCTTAATGTCCACAACATCTGACTTAGTGTCTTCATTTTTTTAAATTCTGTCTAGCTTAGGGATGGAGAAAGTGTAGCTCTCCAAAGTGTTGTTGGACTTCAGTTCCCATCAGCCTTAATCACCATAGTGAGGGATGCTGGGAACTGTAGTCTAATGCAGAGTTCTGGAGAATTTGAAGCTTATATACAGTTTTGTGACATTTTGATTACGGTAGTCTTAATAAAGTAGGGGTGGGCAAAGTACGTCCCTTCTGATGTTATTGGATTACAACTCCCAGCATTCCTCAAAATCGGTTTTGTGTGGTGAGCAGTCCAACAATATCTGAAGGTCCACATTTTGCCCACCTTGTAAGAAAGTGGTTTGTTATTTGTGCAATTCAGAGTATTAACTGAATCTTACTTCTCTTTTCTCTGTGTAGGTTCTTCCCCCTACAGTATATATGAAAGTGACTGAAAATATTCCTCAGATCATTTCTTTTATACAAAAGATCATCGCTAATGGACATGGTTATGCAACATCAAAAGGTATGTCATTGAAACGGTACACTTGGCTGTTAGTGTGTGTATGATATATTATGTTGCTTTTATGTCGTTTTAAATTCATTTGAATGCACTGGGGCTGCTTCTTGAAAAGCAAATCCATGCATAACATATTTCTTGCAAACTGTACTGTATCGATTTGGTAATGACTTTTTTCTTGTAGATCATTTTCTACAGTCATTAACAAACTAAGCTACTTTCTTTGTGAAGGGAGGGCCCACTTACAACAGTTGCAGCTTTTCCTCCCATACCACACCTCTGCTATGGTCTTGTCTGGCCGCCTTTTCCTCCCCTTCCTGCCTGAACCTTGACTGAGGCTGTGGTAAGGATTGCTGAAAGTTATAGTCCAACATTGTCCGGAGAGGTGCACTTTGGTTTAACTTCCTTGGCTTAACACCTCAGCTGGAAATTTTTTTAGAAATTTTAGGCAGAAGCCACCATTTTCATATAACAGCTCAATGTATCTAGGGATTAGTTCGGTTCTTCTAAAGCAGATCTTCAAGAAGTCTTGATCTTGATTTTTGCCTGGAATTCAGGCTGACATATGTTAATGTATTAGTATGAGTGAGAAACCCTGATGTGATGTCATCTGCCTCTTCCCCATGTCCATGGATGCTTGTCTCTCGGATCATGCGTCTAGTGTCCCCTGTCTTTCTATCAATTGGTGCTTATAGTGGGAGGAAAGAGTTGCCTCCAAGTTGCAGCTTCTGGCCAGAGGGAGCTGTAACACTTGCCTTTTGCAGAATCAGTAAGCACTGCAGCATGCAGCCTGCTTGTTTTGAGTGGTGTGATTGCTCAGTGCCATCTCTTTGTATCTGCTGACATAGGAGGATTACATGGTACCCTTTGTGTTGCATTGCTGTGGTTTAACGGTATCAATGTAAGAAAGCTTGTGGATTGTATCCTTAACAGTCTTCCCAGCCTTGGGTTCCCAGATGATCTTGGACTACAACTCTCAGAAATCCTGGTCAGCACAAGTAGCGGCGATGGCTTCTGGGAATTGTAGTCCAAAAACATCTGGGCACCCAAGGCTGGAAACTATTGCCTTAATAAGTAAACCAAACACCTTCCACCGTTATAATAAGACCAACCTGTTTACTTCCAACAGGTAATGTTTATTTTGATGTCCGTTCTAGGGGAGACAGATATGGAAAACTGGCAACTGTTTATCCTGATGCCCAAGAGGAATCAGGTATATTAAAGCACATGTTAATTTCTGCATGAATTTGAGTGCCTTTGGCTAATATGGTAGCTATAAGATATGAGAAATAGGTTAATTAGGTTCTGTATGGTCCTGATATATGATACATTTTCCAGCTAGACATTACTGTTTCATGGTTATTGACGCTGTGTTTTGAAGGAGAGTCACTTTCATTACAACTTGCAGCTCTGAATTGATTAAAAATTGAAGAATTAAAATTTATTTAATTCTTACATAAGGATATGTGTTTGCCCAATTGGTAGCTTGGGTAACTTCAAATAATACCATTTTTAAAATATTTGCTGTAAACCTGTGAAGTAAATCTGCCTATAGAAGAAAATATAGATTCCTATTACATGAGCTTCAGAATGAGCAGTGATTTGAAACTGTATATATTTGAATACAGTACTAGTACCATGCTGCCTCTCACAAAGTGGTTTAGACAAGTCAGCATAAACTTGATTGAGTGCTGAATTAAATAGCTTTTTAAAATATCTAGGCCTTGTGATTGAGGTCTTTTCACTAAAACAGTTGTTCTTATCACTTAGCGACTACGTTCACCTAGTTGGCAAACTGTCTTCCTGTGAAGAATCCACATGCACGTACGCAAGGCTGGTTTGTCCCTGCTTTGTTTTGCTCACCTGCACAATCAGTGGGAATGTTCCAGAATTCAAAAGCTTAGCAAGCTCTCTGTACCCAGAAATTAGGTTTACTGTGGTGTTTAGAAGCCACTGTCGTAAGAGAGAACAAGCTCTCTGTACCCAGAAATTAGGTGTTTAGAAGCCACTGTCGTAAGAGAGATTTTGGTGCTTGTGGATTCTAACTCTTTGGGAGCATCAAAACAGATAGGCACATGGTTAGTGGAGAGGCCCATCTCCACAAAATTCACTGTAGGCCAAGATTACATCGGTTGCACGAGTGTGACCACCACAACCATTGCTTTGTGTGAGCCCCGCTGGTTCTACCAGGGTTGACAGGTGGGCTATCTTCCATCCTTTGACTCATGGACTCAGTGCCAGGTGTTTCAAACAAAGAAGGGTTTATTAGAACCTGAACAGTAGTTTCAACAAAGTCTGCTCCTCATGATTTGCCAACTCCGTGGTTAGTTACCTTCACTAGCCCTGGCTCAGTCTGGGCTACTGAAGGTAACTAACCATGCACACCTGCAGTGGAGACAGGGAATGTTGAGGCCTTGACAAGGTGTGGGTCCGGAAAGGCGGTTGCTGCTGCTGTTCCTGACGTTGACCCTGGCACTCCCTTCTCTTGCTTCCTCCTCCAGCAGTGCAGCTGCGTCAAGGTCAGTTCCCAAGTTGTTGTGGTGGACTCTGCACCTGGTAGTGTGGGCATGGTGGTGGCAGCCTCGGGTTTTGGTGCTTCTCCTTTTCTCCCTAAGAATGCCCCAAGCAGTGTAGCCAAGGAGGCTTGGGGATTCTGGGAGTTATAATACAAAAATGCCACTTTTTTAAGCTCCAGAGTTGCCATTGTGAGTTGGTGATACTAGCTAGATGGATGAGTTGTCAAAGTCATATTTTTTTTTTGCTACAAAATGCAACGTGTACAAATTATTTTGAGGATCTTAACATGTGTTCTTACAAGCGGATAATAAAGACTGAAGCCTCATGAGCAGAGCACATTATTGCAATGCAGATTTCAGTGCTTCATATCTAAGACACCTGTATGCCTTAATACCTGTTCCCTAGTTACATACATATTTGATACCAGTTATGGCTTGCAGGCAAACTGCACGTTTGTTCTCTACATCAAAGTGTTCTTGCTGTTCTTGCCCATAAATAACTTGTGGAATACATTCAACAGACATCTCTTTATACAACAGGCTTCTTCTTACTTTCATCTTTATTAACATGCCACTCCTTGTGATTGACAGCTTATAGTGATAAGCATTACGTGAAGGATTTTTCCCTTTGGAAGGCCGCCAAACCTCAAGAGGTGTACTGGGATTCCCCCTGGGGTAAAGGAAGGCCGGGCTGGCACATTGAATGCTCCACAATATCAAGGTCAGCTGGTCTGCATTTCTTCGTCTTGCTCCTTTCTTTTTCAAGTACGTGTTTCAAAGCAGAAGCAGAGTCATCATGTTATCAATGCAGGGTTTCAGTCACAAATGCTTTTATTTTTATAACCCTTAACTGATGGCAATTGAAATCGGGGAAATCAATGCTCAGTTTTTAAAATGAACTCTTCTAAATGGAATGGTGGCAAACTGATGCCTGCAATTTTTATTGATTTGTTGAGGTTTGCCATCCACAGTCTAGCCTCGATCCGTTGTCTGATTACACTGTGTGGAACAATAGTACAGTGGTGCCTCGCACAACGATTGCTGGTTACACTGTGTGGAACAATAGTATTAGGTGAGCAGATACCCTGACGGGTGGTGAAATGCACTTAGTTGTGCTATCAGTGATTGTTAAACTGGTTTGTAGTGTGCTTGTAGGCAATCTGCAAGAGCATAATTGAAACGGGGAGGGGGGGAATGCTGACAGCCTTTCTTTTTCTTTTTAAAAGCAATGTTCAATTAACACTGAATTAAATGGTCAATCCATTCCATATGCTATCTTCAGAACTTGAAAAATTTGGTTTTTTGAACCACACCTCCCAGAATTTCTTAGTCAGCATTGTCAGTTTGGGATTCTGGGAACTGTAGTCTATTTTGTCTGTAGTATTAATAAATAGGGTCCGTGTGAAAAGAGGCCATTATCTGAGTGGTACGGTAGGACAGTAAATATGGTGACGGACAAGGCTAGGAATATACCTTTTTGTTCTCTGTGCACAGTTTAGCTGCTAAAGGTGTTCCAGTCTGGAAGCAGAATTAAAATTGGGCTAATTAAAGAGCTTCTGGTGTTAAAAAAAGGAAAAAAAAAGATAAAAAAGTGTGCATCCATAGAGCCAGAACCAGAGGTGTTAGCCAGAATTAGCTAAATGACAGTGATGTGGGCTGAAAGTTACATATTGCCAGTCAGCAGGATTTCAGTCATTGATGTGGACTGTAGAGAGATTGGCTTATGAATTAAATAGATGTGAGCTTCCCTGTGTAGTCCTGTTTTCTTCTCTGACGCCCTGGATACTTGAACTTGAACGAGGCTGTGTTACCAGTTTGTGAAAAGTCTCCCTTGAACTCCTAGGACTAAGATTAGACTGCTTGAAAGTGACACTAGAGCCATCTAGAGGCAAACGGTAAACTTGCAGCATCCAATAAAAAAGCCCTGAACGGTACAGTCTTTTTAAATGTGCAGAAGGGAGACGAATGCACGTAGCTGTCTTATTTTCTTCTGTGTGCTTCCACACACCATTGCAACTTGTTCTTCTGGTGTTTTGCCATCTTGTTATCCAGTCCAGGCTGCTGTTTAATTCTTCCAAAACAAGTAGTACACTGAATACTTGTGACATATTTTATATGTGCCTTCATGAGATAACACCGGTGTATAAATCAGAAGTTGGGAAATTTGGCAGGGCTAGGGGTCATCTTCCTTCCCAGGGATCCTCCTGGGACAGGTTGAGCCACAAAAAAAAATATGCAAAAAAGCCACACACACAAAAGCCAACCAAACAAAAAACCAAAAATTAATAGCTTGTTTAGTAGCTCATCCATTGTTGGTATCTCCATTCTTCCATTTTTGGGCCCAGAGTAATCTAGCTGCAGTAAATATATACAGTAGACTATAATTTATTTTCTTATCAATAATTTCTGCCAATATAGTCAATAATAACATTTCAGGTTTAAAACTTAGTTTTTGCCGAACGATTTCTTGTGACATTTCCCAAAAATGTAACCAAAATGTTTTTGCTTTTTCACATGACCACCATACATGATAATAAGTCCCTGGATTTTTATTTTTTATTTTTACATTTCCAACAAACATTACTGATCCCTTCTGAAATTTTTGCCAATTTTACCAAAATGCCATCTGTGAAACATTTTAAGGATGTTTTCTCTCTGGTTTAATCATTTTATAAGTTATCTTTCCCCATTTTTGTCCAGTCATCAATATCAGTATTACAGCCAAAGTTTTGTGCCCATTTTACCATCATCTCCTTCACCCTCCCATATTCTAGATCATACTCTAATAGGTATGAAACAGCCTTGAAGGCCAGATCTTTGCCCACCTCTGGTGTATGTAATCTCTGAAAGAGAGATTATATTTGCGGAAATATGTGACACCTTGATGTGGTTCTTCTTGCCCTGCCTGCTGTTGTATTACGACATGGAAATAAACCACACATGCTGCTTTTGTTAACTAGTTACTCCTTAGGTTTGGCATGAGATTGGAACAAATTAATAAACCACCTTTATCATTCTGTTTCAGTGCACGAAATATAAGTACAACAATCTTCAATGGCCAGTCCACTTGTATAGGTGCATCTTTCTTTAAAAACAATATAGTTCATTCAGATGATAGAACAAATACGTGAAAAAATGTGTTTTGGTTACAATTGGTGTAGTCAGTAATGTTCTTCAGTCTGTCCCACAGATAAATTTTGTAGTTCACATGTCCAGAAGGCCTACATTTAAAGTGAATAGGTTTCACACTTGGTATGTGATAATTTTAGCCAATTGCTGCCATGGTTTGACTCAGTTTCAACATTGACTCTCATTCAGAGGCAGGAGTTGGGAGTTTTCAATCCTGTTGGGTCCCGCCTTTCCTAACATTGCCATGATTGTGATGAGTTAGGGTGTCTTCCTCCTCTTTCTGTTGTTGTGTTTTTAAATCACTGAACATTATTGTTACAGTTTAGTGTTTGGAGAACATCTGGATATCCACACTGGTGGAATCGATCTTGCCTTTCCCCATCATGAGAACGAAATAGCTCAGTGTGAAGCTTATCATCAGTGTGAGCAATGGGGAAATTATTTTCTACATTCTGGTAAGTTGCAACCCCCTTTACATTTTAGTAGTATTGAATTGATTTTGGAACTGGGATTTCCATACAGTTATGGTGCTATCAAAATAGAATTTTTAAAGAGAACAAATTTAAGGAAAATAAATAAATAAATAAGCATTAAGATGTATTTTTGTTTATCTTTTTAATGTGCTGTCAAGTTGCTTCTGACTTACTGGAAACCCTTTCCAGGATCTTCTATGTGTAAAGTACTCAGAAGTGGTGTCCTATAACATCCCTTCTTCTGAGGATGCTATAGGACTGGGCAGCTTGCCCAAGGCTATCCACTCTTCTTCTGAGGGGCATAATGGGGAATCTAACTCCCAGCCTCCAGTTCCATTGCCAGATCCCTAACCCACTAAGCTAGGGACGCAAGAGGCATGGATGAGCCCAACAAAATTGCTTGTTTCTTTCTGTGCTCCACAGTATGGTGGTGTGAGTTTTCATATGAGTCACATCAGTATTTTGGAAGGCCAGAAAGCCATTTCCTGCCAGGGAAAGGCAGAGGTGATCCATACAGTTGGATTGACTTATCCATGAGCCCGGTACAAACATTAGCTTGGATCCTGATGTCTGTGAATAGAATGAAGCTTGATTGAGAGAACGTTCTCATCTCTTATTAACCCCCAGTACTTCTTAATTCCAAAGAAAATATTGGGGGATCTCAGTGTATCGTGTGGGCTGGGCTGTGGTACTAGTCTTTGTCTGATCTGGGCCCTTTCCATTGTAGCCTTCTCATTGTTCATGGGGACCCTCTACCCCCTAAAGAGATATGGGGAAGATCAAGAGGGGGAGGAGGCAGGGAAGTCCCTGGCATGCACTCCCAGTTATTCATGGGGATGGTTGAGGTGCGGAGCCAGAAGTTGGGAGTTGGATTCCCCACTGTGTCCCCTTGCCAGGGACTGGACTTGATGATCCGTAGAATCCCTTACAAGTTCTGCAGTTCTAAGATGATGATGGTGAGGATGATTCAAGCTATCGTACAGAGCATTCACAGTGAGATATTTTTAACAGCTTTTGCATGAGGTGTCAAGCTATCATACAGAGCATTCACAGTGGGATATTTTTAACAGCTTTTGCATGAGGTGTGTAATGTTTGACTAAGTTATCTGAAGGCCATTAAAGTAAGGACAGGTTCGGCGCTATGGTCTCTTCCCTAACAGGAATTAGATAGCCACTCTTTGTGTCATGTGGGTGTTAGAAGAACAGGGTACCTCCATTTTTTCCAGAGCGTGTCTGTCCATCGCAGAGAGTAATGAGACTTTCTCTTTAAGGTCCTGAAGAGCATTATTTTATTACTGAACATTGTTTTCTTCATAGTGACAATGTAGAGAGAATGCTCCAAAATACATTTATAAAATAAGGCATGATTTTTTTTTGAAAAAGAAGTACCTACTTCTCATTTTTTAATGTGTGTGTGTGTGTGTTTAAAGCTTCTGGGTTTGTGAACAAATCAGCTATATTAAGTATCTCAGTTGTACCTTTTCTTCAGTAGGATGAAGCAAATAAATGTGCCAGTTATGGAAATTGTTTAGCAATATTCAGACCATTTTTGCTAATTTTGCAGAATGCACAGACTATTCCAGATGGATAGTTTTCATTGTTTCTTCAATGCCTTTATGTGTTTAATCAGAATGATGGATATTCAAAATCCTTCTGTGAAGGAGAGTTTTTGCAGCCAGCTTCCATAAGCTTCTTCTTTTGCATGCTTATAAAACGATATACATATTTCCAAAGTAGCATTCTTGTTCTATGTCAGTTCCTTGACTCAAGGTAATTTATTTATTTTTATCTGGCAGTGGAACTGTTGCAAAAGCCAGTATGTTGCATTCATTAATTGCTGGGTTTTTTTAAAAAAGAATTCCATAAATTAATGTGAATTATTCACAGTCGATTACTCAGTTTCAGAAAATATCTTATGTTCCATAACACAAAGAAGAGTTTTGGCAAGCCCATTAATGATATCCTGCTCATGAATCAAATGCAAGAGCTGGTGATACCTTTCATTTTTTCCCCGTTCAATAATATCCTGAAGGATAAAATTGCATTTTAATCTTTCATTGTGCTCAGCGAACTCTATAAGCTTCTCCACACACAACTTCTCCACTTCACAACTTCCAGAATGTCTGGCTTGGTTTTTGGACTTTGCTGTTTCTTTATCCCATCTGCTTCTCCAGATGGTTCTTAATTCTGGAGAACTCAAAAGCTTGCATGCTTTTGTGGTATTTTGGTAGCATTTTGTTTGGGGTTGACTGGAGTTGGTGTCCAGTGACATCCGAAGGGCTGTGGTTTCCCCATTACTGGTCCATGCGCAGGGTTCAGTGGTTTCAGTGGTGTTTGCACCTCTGGAAAAGCCTTCTTGTTCGAAAAGTGAGACAAATGGGGTAAAATAAATCTCAAAGCTTTCTCATAAGGGGTTACCTGATGGCACAAGCAAAGTGAAATCCTGTAAATGATGCTCTGTGCTTAGTGAATGAGGAAGAGCAGTATATTCTTAACTGTTTGCCCTGATTAGCTATTTGAAAACTTGTTTCAATGGCTTACATTACTGCTCTCTGCCTCCTCTGAGATTTTCAGAACGTTGTAGTTTTGTTGGGATTTTTCGGAGGCAGGTATTGGACATTCTTGCAGGATTGTGCACTTTGGGGGAAGGGACCTATGGACCCATGTTTTGTGTGCGAAAGGTGCCGACACCTGCAGTTTGGTTGGTACCAGTTTATGAAGAAAACCCTCCTGAAAGAGGAATGGCCTGGAGGACTACTGCCCATGAGAGGAGACAATGCTGGCTGAGATGGACCAATAACCTGACCTGGCCCAAGGTCCCTGTCTATGTTCTTAAGCATTTGTTCATCAGCTAATGAACACAGTGGGACGAGTTGCGGGTCAGTGGCAAAGCCTGTGCTTGCCTGCCAACGTTTGTTGGCTCAGTCCCTGCTGTCTCCATGTTAGTCTACGAAGTACTTTCATCAGACATGCTGGAAATCCCCTAGCTACTCGGTGTAGACCACTAGGTCTCAGGTGCACTTTTGGGTCCCTAATGTTCCCAAGGAATCCTACCGTGTAAAATATGAGGAGGAAGACCTCTTTAGCCAGAAACTGAGATATTCTGCTCCATTTTCAGTTTTTGCTAAACAAGACTGGAAGTGCCACAAGGAGTCCAATAATAGTAATTTCTGGGCATTTCCTTACTTTTGAAAAGGTGGCGGGGGGGGGGGGGATGGTCAGAAATGACTATTATTGGGCTCTTCATGGCTGAGATCCCAGCCCTCTCAGTTTGTCCACCCTCTCACATGCACAGTATTCTGCTAAATTGACCAGTGATGTAAGGCAGCTTCCTGTGAAGTTTTTTTAACTTAAAAATGGGTGAGAGGAAGATTCTAGTCAGTAGGATTCTTTCTTTGTTCATGTCAGAAGCACAACAGTACAATTAATAAATCTATTGGTTAGTTTTCACCCAGTAACAGGCAATGTTGAGAGCATGTGGGGCAGCTAGCATCAAGTCTTCCATAGTACCTGTTGAGGGGCTCAGGATACACTGTTTGTTCTCTTCACATTTGCAAAGGAATGTGTCAGGGCAGAAGCCCATTTTTTTTAGCTTCACCCTTATTCTACCAAGTCCTGTCAATAGCATGAGAGTTAGGACAGCATGAGTTATTTCTGAGGCACTATTTCTGATGCGCTACTTACACAGGGAGTGAACTACTGATAGAGAGAAATACAGAACTTGGCATATCCTTCTAACATTCAGTGGTAATTTTGGTTTACTAGGTGAGTATTGGATACCCAGTGTGGTGTAGTTGATAGAATGATGGACTAAGACGCAGAAGGCCTGGGTTTGAATCCCTGCCCAACTCTGGAAGTTCACTTGAGGTGTATTGCTGGTAAAGCCACTCCTTAAACATCTCTCTTAATTTGAAAGCCCTGTTAAGAGTCATTCCAACTTGACAGCACGTAACAGCAAGAATTTAGTATTGTTTCACATGTGTTTCAGCATCTCTGAAAACAAACAACAATAATGCAGTTTTGATTATTACTCTCCAATATAAATTGCAAAGTTTTTAAACAGAAATTGATTGTGGGGCAGATAAGTGGTCCATTTAAAGAAAGAGATCAGTGTTTAAAATAATTGTATTTGTACTACAGTGGTGCCTCGCTTAACGAGCGCACCGTATAACGACGAAATCGCATAGCGATCCGTTTTTTCGGATCGCTAATGCAATCGCTCAACGTTTTTCCAATAGGGGAAAATTCGCATTGCGAAGACCGGTAAGCGTTTCGCTTACCGATCTTCGCAAAACGAACCCCGACGATCAGCTGTTCGGCGGCCAAAATGGGCACCGGAAGCCTGGAAATGGCCCAAAATGGCCACGCGCAGAGTTTTCGCGCCCTCGTTAAGCGAGGCGAGGGCGCGAAAATGGCTGCCGGCCATCCTGAAGCATCGCTGAACGGTGAGTATTTGGCCCAATTGGAACGCATTAAACCATGTTTAATGCGTTCCAATGGAAATCCCTGCCCCGTTCATTGATGCTTCAGCATAGCGAAGGTTAATCCGGAACGGATTAACCTCGCTATGCGAGGCACCACTGTACTTTGAATTGTTCATTGATTGCACAGCAAGAAATGTAAAATGACTATTGAAATAGCTCTGATTTCATATTTGTTTTTAGCGTATATTCTAAAAACGTATATTTTTCTAACTCACCTCTTTGTTTATTGTGAAAAAAAATCAACTTCCTTTTATCATTTAGGACACCTGCATGTTAAAGGAAATGAAAAAATGTCAAAATCTCTCAAAAACTACATTACAATTAAGGTATTGTAACTTAATTAAGGTATTGTAACTACAGAACAGGACAGGCCAATGTAGGAAACCTGGTTTGTTAAGCATGAGCAAGCGTGCTCTGGTGCACACTGCCTGGCTGTTTGCTCTTGCAGCAGGGGTGGCTAAACCAAGCATGGGGTTTCTGCATTTTGGGAGAAATTAGATTTTATTTTTAATTTTGGAAAGTGCAAAATGCATATTGGGAGGAAAAGTGATACGAGGCAATAGGGAGTATACCGCTGGAGAAATGCATGGTGGTGGTGGTCTGTAGGTTATGCATGATGTTTTATCTTCAGTCCCTGATCACTGGCTGCCTCTGCGTTCAAATATTTCTGCAGTCTTGAGAACTAGAAACTTGCTTTCGTTGTGTTGGAATGAAAGCCCAAAGTTCCTTGTCAGTGCACTAAATTCCCCATACAGGTCTATCGCTCTGGCGGTAGGAAGGACTACTGTCGTTGATTACAGAACCCCATTCAGGCGTTCTCGCTCTGTTGGAAGTCTTCACGGCTGGAGAGGAGCACTCCAGCCTTGCCTCCCTCTTGTTCCCATTGCTGTTGTCTTCCTGTGCATGGAGAGTGATAAGTCTGAAGAGGAGAGCTGCCTTCATCCATGAAAATCAAAGCCCCAACTCGTGAAAAGCCCTCGTGGGTAGCAGAAGTTCTCCTCTTCAGCCTATTCACTCTTTATACCTAGGAGATTGACAGCACCAGAAATGGGGTAGGGTGGAGCTGAAACAATTCCTTCTAACCATGGAAAATATAACCTGACTATAGGACTAAAATCTTTTTAAAAATGTGGAAGTTTTGATGTGCTGGCAAAATTAGGAAGACAGAAAGTGTGCTACCTTTTACTGTCAAACCTAGGATTCTGGAGGCCTTTTCAAACGGTGGATCATGTTTTTCTTGATCTCATCGCAACTGTTCATAGAGTTTATTTGTCCTTATTTCCCCCTTGTCTTAGGATTTCCTAAAGGAGTCTTCACCTGATCAGTTTAGAGTGTTTTGCTTGCGGAACAGATACAGGTCAGGTAAGGAGACTCCTGTGACTCCAGATTGGGCTAGACAACTCATTGTCCACTGTGTCTTAGTTGTTCTGTTCATATGTGTCTTTGGCTCAAGTGAAATGCAGAGTTAAAATTAGGACAGTGACCTTTTTTTGGCACATGCTTTCCAATTATGCGTAACTTCTGTTGGCTGAGGGAGGGGAAGAAGCAAGAACAAAGGATCCCTAGTTTGTTTTTTTCAGGAATCCTGCGAGGTACCTTAGGCTATGTGGATGTGAGTTTGAGTGCATATTATGCAACTGGCTCAAGGCCACCCAGCAAGTTACATGGCAGAGCAAATATTTGAACTCAATTCTTCATGGTTAGAAGTCTCACAATCATACAACCTGCCACACCATGGACTTCCATGAAAACAGGTTTTAAAAACTTTTTGAGAAGATATACACTTGGCAAATGACTTGAAGAGAAGCTTGTTTTTGTTAACCATAGTTTCTAAATGTTCTGGCTTCTTAACAACATCCGCCAAACAGTTTATTTGCTAAACAGCTTTATTGGTGTTGAAAGTAACACAGCTCCTATTTGTCAGTGATGTCCACAATCATTTATGTCTATCAGAGTAGGAGGTCTTTATGGCATACCTGTTTTGCAGAAATCTAATCTGCCATTGTGTGTGCTCTGTTCAACACAAGCTGCATATGCTATGTATTCCTTGACTTGTGGGTCCTAGAAAAAATGGCTTGAGTTATGTACCTACTGTTGCTTAAAACATAATACGTTGCTGAATCGGATAAAATCTGACTCATTAAACACGTATTAGCAAGAATTTCAGCAGGGACTAAGCAGTGTAGCAGAAATTGGAAAACAAGCCACTGACTACTTCTGTTTCACTAGTTTACATTGTTTAGATACACCCAAAGGTGCTTTAAAGGCATATATGGTGAAATGGATGCTTTAATTTTCCAGGATATCAATTGAAGAGAGACAAAGATCTACTATGTCAGTGCTTTGTTCAGTGCAGTGAGACTATCGGCTAAATCCAGTGGGTTGTTGTTTTTTTAGTTCCGACAAAAATCGATCCATGGAATTGGCAGATATTACATAAATGTTGACTTACAAATCCCATTGATCCATTAAGTCTTCTCTAGTTGATAGTATTAGCTGAATTTAGTTTTATTTATTTTCAGTATTTAAATTTTTACCCTACCCAACTAGTGGTTAAGCCATTAATTACTCTGGGCGGCTTTAGCCTTATTTAACATCATTTCCTCTATTCACTTGCTTTGTATTCAGGAAAATTTACTTGTTTTGAACCTTGTTTCTTCTTCATGGTCTCTGTAAATGCACACTAATAGGTTTAATCTGCGCTTGTGCAGAGGTCTCTGGAATATTCTAGAGCTCAAACATGTGTTTGCTAGGTCTGCCTCCCCAGTACATGTGGCCTGCCTGTCGTGGTGATTACCTCAGTTCTTTTTTGCTGCTGCTGAGGTCTCATCTTCTTCTGAGCCCTCCGTTCACACAGATTGTTTCTTTTTCCTGAGGAGGCATAATATGTCTTGTTCTTATTTAGAAATAAACTGTTCTGTAATACTATTTTCGTTACTCCTTTGTGATTTTCGGTTGTTTTACCACTTTTTTCTGTAATCTGCCCCCCTTCACCCTCCCTTCCTGCCTTTTATGGCCCTGACAGGTCTGTTTAAGAGGTTCACTTTGTGCACTAATAAGTTGCCTATTTCTGATGGCCACAATTCTTGTCTTTTTTGTTTGGGAGAATCGCACCAGCCAGCCACCTGCTCCTATTGTAAAAACTTTACTAAACAAGCCATCAAGCTCCGTCAGTAACACTTTAAATCTTTCTTGTGGGAACAATCTCTTCGTCCACCATCCAAGATGGATGAGACTCAGGCTTCAAAACCGCCACCAGTTTCTTTAGTTACTAATTCCCCGTTACTGACTCCTAAATATAAGCCAAAATTGCCTAAGTCAAAGTCCCCCGGATCAACGTCACAATCAACCCCGACACAGAAAACTACTCTGAAACCGATTGGTATTTTTACTGTACTGCCTTATTCAGCCTTTGAGCCCCAAATCTTTGGGTTTCTCTGTGTCCGGGTGTGAGTCTGGATTAATATCTGTTCATGTTGATCCCAGTTCCTTTGCAGAAGAAGGCTAAACTCCACCACATTGAGGACACCGGCCGTTCCGATACCGTTCTCTCACAGCCCCCGATACTTTTGGGACTGTTGGTATCACGAGGCTCTTGGGCTCGATATCACCGGGCCAAACGAGTTACCGTTTATGAACCTCCTGTCTACTATGAACCGCCACCTAAACTGTATCGACATAGTCCGCACTGGTATTGGCAGCATGATACCAAATGTTATGTCGAACCCAAGCGTTTTCAGTATGCATTCTGTTATCTTTCAGACTCTTCGGAGTCCCCCTTGCCTCCTCGATACAATTGGAGCTACTACTATGACCAGTCATCAGACAATGAAGCGTTTCTCCCGCTTCGGCACCAAAGCTCCATAAGAAAACTCACAAACGGCATGCTTCAGCTGCCCCGGCTCCATCGACTTTGATACCTAAGAAACCAAAGCTGTCGGCCAAGCCCTCTATACTATAGGCTGATACAGCTGGTCTTTCTCAGGACCACTCATCATCCTTACAAGTCACCACGGCTTATAGTGGACCTCCGCCTGGTACTGTGGACTCTGAGAACCCTCAGAAGCGTAAGCCAGATCTTTCCATCCAATCGATACCTGGCAAGCGCGGCGCTGTGGCTTCTAAGCGCCACCAACCAGATGCCCCTCCTGATACGCCAACCTCTTCATATCAGCAGGGTTCCTCGCCTTCACCAGCGCATTATTCAGACTCGGAGTCCTCTGATTCCATGGCCTTACAAGAATCACCCTCCAATCTTCTGACTCCCGATTACGATGTAGCTGATGCTAACCCTCCATCACCATCGGAGGATTTCTCCTCCTATTCTCAATTAGTTCTCTATATGGCCATGGACCTTGAGGTCCGGCAGCCAACCCAATCTGAATCTGACAAGGTATATGAGGATGTCGATGAGGATCAGACACCCCCACTTCATATGGGATTCATTCTGTTGCTGCTCAAGCTTATTAAGCAGTCTTGGGCCAAACCATCTTCAGTACCTCAGATCTTTAGCAGAGTCGAGAATCTGTACAAGACCCACGATACTAACACTGTCCTGTGACCTGAGCGACACCTATTTTCATATCACCATCAGACAGGACCACTGCAAATTTCTTTGCTTCTCTCTCGGTCTGACCACCTACGAATTCAACGCCCTACCATTCAGTCTCTCCACTGCTCCACGAGTATTTATGAAATGCATGGCCCCGTAGCAGCGCACCCTCACACCCTAGGAATTTCGGTGTTTCCGTACATCGACGACTGGTTACTTGTGGCTCAGTCACACAAGTACGCTCTGTAGGACATTGCTGTCACTCTTTACTGGAAGATCTGGGCCTCAAGGTCAGCGTCAACAAGTTAGTACTAACTCCCTCTCAAAGAGTCACTTACATAGGCGCGGTTCTACATTCACATCACGCGAGGGCTTTTCTCCCTCGAAAACATGCAGTCAAGATACGTACTCTTGTCAGCCACTTCCAGCCTCATGTGCTGGCCACTGCTCATCAGGTACAACTCCTTGGCTTCATGGACTCCACCATGTCCGTTAATCAGCATGCCTGACTGAAATTGCACTTGTTACAATTGTGGTATCTATCCATATTCGACCTGCTTCTTGACACACCCACTATGCTTCTACAAGTCACTCCTGAGCTTGCATCTCAGCAGATTTGGAGAAGCACCCTGGCCAATTTTTCCTTGGGTGACCGTTTGCACCTCTCCAATTGGCAGTTCAATTTACAACCAATGCCAGCACATTGCGAGGACCTTCGAGTTCATGCCACCTGGTCCCTTTATGAAAAAACTCTCCTCATCAACAACCTCGAATTGCTGGTGATCTTCAAAGCATTCCGCGCTTTTGAACCACTCATTATGGGTACCACAGTCCAGGTGACCATGGACAATATGACATCACTACTACATCAACAAACAGGGAGGTACACACACTCTACTCCTCTATCTTGCCATCCAGTTTTGAGAGTGATGTCTGGATCACCACATTTTTTCTATAGCCGTCCACATTGCCACACAACACAACCAATTGGCAAACCTTCTCAGCAGGCTGAATTCTCAAATGCACGAGTGGTCTTTCGACGACACCGTTTTTCTCCAACTTTGCAACAAGTGGGGTCATCCCGATATAGACATTTTCACCACAGCAATCAATGCAAAATGCAACCAGTACTTTTCCAAAGCGGGCATCAGCCGAGAGTCTCTCAGCGATGCTCTCATAGTGAGTTGGGCCATTTGCATCGTTTACCTCACCGATACCCCTTCTCCTGTGGACCATCGTCAAATTGAGACAGGACCGCTCGAATGCCATTCTGATCGCCCCCTGGTGGCTGAGGCAACCTTGGTTCACAATGTTCACATGGATGGCCTCTCAATCCATCCATCTACCTTGCCTTTCTCATCTGCTCACCTAAGAATCACGGGCAAACTTACCACCCCGACCTCCAATCCCTCCACCTAACAGCTTGGAGGATCCACCCTCTGTAAACACCATCTTCACCCATACGAGGAAGCTGACCACAAATCAACTTTATGCTTACAAATGGTTTGCTTTCCAGAACTTTGCTTGTCAGAATGATCTCCCAACGGCTCCGACTACCCTCCGAGCAGCGTTGGCCTTTCTTTCTTATCTTTTTGACTGCCATGTCATTATCTACAATCAAGGTCTACATGTCCACTGTTGTGGCTTACCAACCACAGGACTCAGATACTGCCTTGTTATTCAGGCATCCCACGTTTAACTGGTTTCTACAGGGTGGGGCTAATCTCCATCTGTCCAGGCCCTCTCCGACACCACAGTAGTTGTTACACACTGTCCTCCGGCACTTGTCACTGCTGCCCTTTGAACCTTTTGCAACTTCCTCCAAGTGTTTGCTCTCCTTTGAAGTGTTGTTTCTCATAGCCATCACATCCGCCCATAGGGCATCAGAACTGGCGGCCCTGCGTGTGGACCCTCCGTTCCTTCAATTTCATCCAGATAAAAGTCACGCTGAATCCTGACATCTCTTTCCTTCCTAAGGTCGTTTCTGATTTCCACATCCACCACCTCATTCACCACATAGAGGGGCACAGGTGTCCCTCAAAACTCTCTCACGATGGATTGTGCAGACTATACACCTCACTTACCAGCTTGCCCGAAAGCCTCTGCCTTCTGATGTCAAGGCTCACTCCACCAGGGCAGTGGCCACCTCCATGGCTTTTCTTCGAAGCGTACCTGTTCCAGATATTTGCAAGGCTGCCTCTTGGTCAACTCCATCGACATTTGCATCCCATTATTGTTTGGATGTACGGGCCAAGTCAGATGTGGCTTTCGGTCGTGCAATCTTGTCTTCGTTTTTACCGTGACATCCCTCCATCTGTACGGTAAGCTTGTTAATCACCAATTAGTGTGAATTCACAGAGACCACGAGGAAGAAAGAGAGGTTACTTACCAGTAACTCTGGTTCTTTGAGTGGTCATCTGTCAATTCACACTTCCCACCAGTCCTCCCTTCTGTCCGTCATGTCTGTCTCATTATTTCAGGCAGCGGCGGGCTTTTTAGGAACTGAGGTAATCACCACGACAGGCGGGCCACGTATACTGGGCGGTGATCCTAGCAAGCAAGCAAGCACATGTTTGAGCTCTAGAATATTCCGGAGACCTCTGCGCAAGTGCAGATCAAATCCATTACTGTGAATTCACAGATGACCACTCAAAGAACCATTGTTATAGGTAAGTAACCTCTCTTTTCTGTTGTTCCTAATATAAAACCTTTCAATGTTGTTCCTAATATAAAAGCTTTCAATGTTTCTGGACATTGTCTAGAGGGGTGGGGTGAAAATCTAATGAATAAATAAATAAACATTTCTGAAGGTTTTATCTCTTGAAATATTGTCTCTTTTAGCTGTGGAATACAGTGATGACAGCATGAATGGTGCAAAGAACACCCTTCAGACAATCAATTCTTTTGTGAGTAATGCTACTGCCTATGTGAAAGGCCACCTTCTCTGTGATGCCATTAGGGAAGATGTCCTGTGGGAGAGGTGAGTGTGTGTGTGTGTGATTGACCTGGCCTTCCCATGCAGAAGAATAAGATGGTAGCTTCCTGACAAGGATCTCCTTTAGAGAGAAGGTGGGGGTGACATTTTGAGGGTGCATCATGCCTTTGTTTCTGTCTTTCTCATTCCATACATAACTGGCACATCAAGGAGAAATGTTCCCTGCATGCTAGGTTTTGACTTCCTGGGTATTTTCTCCTGCTCTAGGGGAAGCATTCAAAAGTATCTCTTCCAGTTGTAGTCTTAAAAAGGTACAGTACATTTTGCTGCAAAATTCTTCTGTATAGGAAGCCTTGGCCTACAACTTACAGGTTACAGCAAGTGTCTAAATTCTGATGTGTGTTGCCATGCTTAGATATGAATGTTGTATTTTCTGAATTCCTATGTTTACATATATTAAAAACGCATTCATGTTACTGGAACTTTGTGTAGTGCTTGTTTTCAAGTTGGTCATGACACAAGAATATATATGTCTGATGGATGACGTCTTGGTACTAAACCCAGTCACTAGTCCAAGATTTGCCTGCATTGAATGAGTGGAACTTGCTAAGTCAGCACTTATGTAAATCCTACCAGTTCAATGGTTCACCACTAACTTCCTTGGGTCCTTCTTAAGGAGAAAGGCAGGGTAAAAATATTTCAAATAAATAACAGATAAATATCTGGAATTAGCTATTTTGCCCTTGATGTTCATGTCATAAAAAAAAAAATACAAAGTATTAGGGTTGCTTCACACACTATGCAGACAATAACCTGGGACTGTCACAAAGAGTACACTCAACAGATAATTACACATTGTTTTAGTTCTTTCCTGAGTGTATGGGGACGGTGTGGTTTCTAGATATGGTCTCGCTTCATCCTTTATGCTTGTATGTCTTGGGTTAAAAACAAAACCCCAGATATACATCTAAACACGTAATTTGTGAAACAGTTTTATTCATGGTAAGTAAGGTCAGCAAATAAGCTTTGACTTCTTTCAGCTGTTTTTTTAATTTTTTAAAAGAACTGGTGTTATCCAAATAAATTCTGACCGATAAATTCAGTTACCTTTGATTAATAAGTGATGAAATGTGAATACACCTGCACAGGAAAACAGTATTTTTAGATTATATACTATGAATCATTTCAGGCTGCATCTCAGATGAAGCATTCCTCTGTATGAAAGGAAGAGGAGTGCCCTTTCTAGGAAGCTGGTATTTAATCACTTTCACTTAAAATAGCCTCCTAAAACTTGGCTTTTGTGAGAGTGGTTAAAAGCCAAGTCAGAGATAAAAAATATACAGGATTGTGATTTTTAAAGACTGAAAATCACACCTTTCCTTTTAGTTTCACTTTATAGTTAGTGTCATCAAAAAGGTAGTGATAAGAATCCCAAGACAGCGAAAACAAAGAATCTGTTTTCTGACAAATTGATGCATTAATTACACTGTTTAACAAATCAACTAGACATTTTTCCTTGATACTTTAGTATGTTGGATAATGTAATGAATAATATGGAAGTTCGTCCACGTTGACTGGCCAACAGTGTCAAAGGCACAGCAGATAAGGCAGCTTTGCTAATCTGTCACTGAGACTTGCTGAGGGCATTAATTCTAACTGGCTAGAATTTTTTTTCAGACTTGTTAGCTATTTTAAGTAGGTAGTCATCCAGGCTGCCATATATCTAAGTATGCTGTGTGAGGGAGCTATATATAAAATCTTGAGATGCCTGACCACCCCATCTGTGGTCAAGATTTTTAGAACTCTGCTCCTAATTCCATGTCTACTTAGAATTCAGTGTAAGGGAGGTATGTCCTGAGTTAAATCCATATTTTAACCCCACCTGTTCTTTTAAATTTTTTATTTCAGTTGTTTTGCTTTTTGTCAGTGAGCACTACTTGTGCAGTTTTCATTTAATAATGAAAAGAATGAAGTCAGGCATAATATAAGGCAATCATATCATTTTTATTGATTCATCATTTGCTTGTGGATCAAAATCTGTTTTATCATACTATGAAAAATATATTCCCCTGAACATCAGGTTCTGATTGTTTATAATTCTTTTTCCAATAATACACAAATATCTGATATTCCTCAGGAAATGGATTTACTGTATAGATTCACTCTCCTTGAATTTAGTGTGATCTTCACTGATATTAATGCCTTCTTGTGGCTTAATGAATCAAATCATGACACTAAGAATTACATTAGACCTCTGGTAAATTCAGTTACTACTGTTTTGGGGGACTAATAAATTAAATGTTGCCCGTACAGTACTTGAATGTCATTCCTGATCCTAGTTAAAGATCCCAATGATGCAGGTGCAGGATCTCTTCCGACTTCTACTCCTAGAATAGTAGTGGTTGTTGCTATATGCAGTCAAGTTGTTTCCAGTGTATGACAACCCTCACAAGGTTTTGAGGCATGTGAGATGCTCAAGGCGTGATCTGTCATTGTCAGCCCCAACTAGTTTCCATGACCAGACAGGGATTTGAACCCAGGTCTTTTGAGTCTTAGCCCAATACACTATCTGCTATATAACACTGGTGTCCTTGATCCGGATCTCGGTACTATTTGTTTAAACATGAGCCTGACCTAGTAGAACATCAAGTGCCTGAAGAGGGCAGGCTGTGGGGAGGTAAGCCTCAGACTCTGGGGACGTTTGGCATCTCCCGCCTGTGTCTCCCTTTTGACAGTCATCACCACTTTCAAAGAGAGTAGGCATACCTGAGTTTAAAGAAACAAGCCTGTTGCTGTGTTTAATTTGGAGCTTGAAAGATTTTAACTTGAAAACGTACTACTTAAAATAATTACTTGCTAAAAAGAAAAGTCACACGATCCATTTACAGAGTCTGGGGGCAAAGGGGTGGGTATTGGAAAAAGAGAGAGAGCATTGACTACAAGTATCCAGTTATTTGTAACTAGTGACTACAAAGCTGTGGCAGAGGTACTACATAATATGAACATTAGTGGAGGAGCAGGGTCCGCTCTGGAAACCGAAAAGTGATGTAGGACTCCACAGGAGGGATGACATCAACAAAGCTTTCTCTCTTGAGAATGTTAATGTCTCCCCTCCCAGCTCTTAACAGAGATTGAACAATTTAATTTTTGTTCACCATCACAGTTAGCTCCAACCAGTGTCTAGTACCTTTACTCCCCATGGCAGTTTAAACATGCACCTGCCTTTCTCATGAAGGAGTTGGACATTGGTTCAACCATCTTAAATAACTGTGAGAAAATGTGTGTGTCTCTTTCTGTGTATGTCTGCACGAGTACTTCACTAGTGGGTTGGCTTACAATTTTGATAATTGAGGTTCTGTTTCTTTCTGTTATCTGGAAATCTTTGCTTCTCCCCTCAAGCCTGGTCGCCACAAAAGCAACAGTAAAGGAGGCCTGTGCCGATGACTTCGACACCCCTAGGGCTGTTGGTGCAATTATGGACCTCATTCACCATGGCAACAGACAGCTTAAGGCCGTCACTAAGGTAACGCATCAGGGTACAGAGATCAGAAAGAGTCAGTTTTCTGCACTTACAAACTGACAGATAGGTTTATTATGTTCCTCAGAGAAACTGGTAGGAAAAAGAGGCAAATGAATTTCCTGCCTCTGTCAGGCGTTTATTCAGAGTTTCTTTCCAAAGGGTTAAACTGGTCTTGTTGTCCTTTGCAGTACTCAGCTTACAAAATGGTGCTTCCAGGCTAGCCTTCCCCCCGCCCCCCGTTGTGTATGGTTTACTCCTCAATTAATTTCTCAAGAAGCTTGAGTCTGTTGAAACTTCCTGTGTTTCTTTGTTCATTTCCCTCCTCCCTGCCCCAGCCGAATGGTTTATTGTGATATTGTGATTTTTTCAGATTTTCCCCTAACATTGCAGTTGTTGTATCCACCTTTCAGGTGGAAATGGGTTTAGCAATATAGTCTCAGCTGGTTGGAAATGGTGGTCTTTTTGTATGGTTAGTAAATATATTGGACCTCCCCTGCCACCTCACTGTTGCCCGCCTGCCCACCTGTCTACTCTGGCCTTCAGCGTGTGAATGAGGGCACTCCCGTTAATATACCCATACCTTTCTTGGCAAGGATAAGGGTAGAAGGGTGCCCTTTGTTCCTGACCTTTTCTTTCCCCAGTCCAGGGAGGAGATGGCCCATGCTGTCTTCTCCTGCTCTTGGTCTTACACAGCCTTATGAGGCCAGGTCCTACAGCCTCAATGGAGGCAGCAGTGAGGACAGCTGGGTCTGATTCCTCCCGTAAAGCAACTTGGTGGACTAACACTGTGGTGCCAAAAGCAGCAGGAGTACAGTAGCAGAGAGGACATGGGAACTAGAAGGAGCTGGGCCCTGCTAGACTTGGAATTCTGGAGCACCTGTCCAGGGGAGAGATGGGACACCTGGTTCTTGTTGCTCACCTTTCTGACTGGACAAGCCTGTTTGTAGACGTCGAAGGAGAAACTGGGATGAACCTCCTGGGAAAGCCACTGTCCTTGTTTCTTGACTTCCCAATGAACATAACAGCAAAATCATTGTTGTTCATGAAGAATAACTAGCTAATGCACAATTGGCAGCTTACTACTAGCAAAAACCAGATTTTTTCCCCAGAATGGTGTAAGGTGTGTCATGAGGTCTACAGAAAGAGCAGAGTTTGATCAGGGGTAACATGGCATGAGCAGAACGATTTCCATTCGGACAGGGTACCTTTTGGATTCCCAACTACATGTATAAAACACAGAAAAATGGCCGATGATTCACTGGGATCTGTCCACCCACTTACACATCACAGCCATTACAGCTGTGTTGGCATTGTTTCTTCAACAATATATTTATTAAATCTGATTATATATGCAATGCTGAGTATTGTCAGGGCATAATGTTAGTCTTGAGGGACATGGTGCTGCAGGTTAAACCGCAGAAGCCTCTGTGCTGCAAAGTCGGAACACCAGCAGTCGTAAGATCGAATCCACGTGACGGAGTGAGCTCCCATTCTTTGTCCCAGCTCCCGCCAACCTAGCGCTTCGAAAGCATGCAAATGCAAGTAGATAAATAGGTACCACCACGGTGGGAAGGTAACGGTGTTCCGTGTCTAGTCGCGCTGGCCATGTGACCACGGAAACTGTCTTTGGACAAACGCTGGCTCTACGGCTTGGAAACGGGGATGAGCACTGCACCCTAGAATCGGACACAACTGGACAAATTGTCAAGGGGAACTATTTATTTATTTGTTTGTTTGTTTGTTTATTTGTTTATTTATTTATTTATTTATATCCCGCCTATCTGGTCGTTATGACCACTCTAGGTGGCTTTTACCTTTACCTTAAGGTTAGTATTTCCAGTGCAAATTTGCATCTTTTCCTGTATTTGCATTACAGTTGAAGTTGACTGGACTGATGCTGATGTCATTTTTACCATAAGTCTAATGATTTGTCCCAAATGGCCACCAAGACCAGACCCCTGAAGTTTCTGTTCCAAATCAGTAAACTTGAGCACCTTTTCTTGAGCTACTGAATAAAACAAATCCCATTTTGGCTGGCTTGAAACACAACACTATATAGTTAGTTTGATGAATATCTGTTGGTATGCAGTCCATCATATCTGACATTATTCGTTCTGATATCTTGCCTGCTATACTGATCTCTTAGAATTATCATCTTCACTTCAATATCCACTCCCATCTATTTTGCCTGAGGTCCATTACATAATCAAGACTGCATTGTTTCGGTCTGTTATGAAATCAGCCCCCTCGCTCCTGTATTGAACTTTTGAAAATCCTGCACGAAGACCTTGCACACAACACTGCACGCAACACCTTATTTGGATACTGTGCAGAAATGACAGGATCTGTTGTGAAGGACAACCGTGTCTTTATACAGTACAGTACACACGTCTAGTCTCTTTTTGTAATTATTCTGTGTTGGTGAAAACTGTTGGAACCTGAGTATTTGACAAAAGTTATCTATCAGTATTTGTAGCTTCCATTCCGTACATCCTGGATTTTCCTTTTCCTCTTGCAATAAAGTTGTTTTAAAACTTTTTTTTTTTAAAGCCCTTTTCTGTATCAGTTACTGTTCATCTTGATGATACTTGGAGACTTGTTTTGCTACAAGATACATTTTCTGTTCTTAAAATATTGTGGCAGTAGTACTTTATGGCCAGTTATTGCAGTTAAGAGTTCTTTGCTGTGAAAAATAAGAGGGTTTAGAAAAGGTTTCAGATAATGAGATTTCTGCACTGCTGCCTTCTACAAGCAGAGAAGGGCATGCTTTCATCTTTTGTTCATGTGCAGAGAAGCGTTGGTCGCTGGAGGGAACTGTTAAAAGTTACATCAGCTCTTTTTGTGTGTGTGTTTGAAATCAGGAAACTGGATCTGCTAGAAGCTCTGTTGTGTTTGGAGCCATTGTTTCCTATATAGTGGAATTTCTTAACACAGTTGGGATCACACTTTCTGAAAGACAGGTAAGAGACTACCATAAAGGTATATTCAGGGTAAATGCAGACTTGTCTGCTGTAGAGTTAAAACACCAAGCCTCTAACGATTTGCATGTGTGCCTCAAAAGAATTGCACTCTCGAGAGCCCCCCCCCTTTATCATGGGCATAAGAACTGTGTGTGTAAGTCCATGAACTTGTTGCTGCTCTTCCCAACCAAGCACTGCCTTCTCTGATCAGCAACAGCTCGCCCACATTTTAAGTAGATGCCTTGAGATCCTCTTTTGCTGAAGGGTGAATTCTGGACGTTTTGCATGAAGAGTTCGCTAAGAGCTCCCTAGCCATGTATCTACATAGTGAAAATGCCCACCTGTACAGTCTTCCCTTTCCCTGACTTACATGTAAGTTACATGGCGTTTGCTGTGTCCAAGGCAGCTTCTCTTTTATTCAGAGATCATGTCATGAGTAAAGTGAGTCTTAGTTGCAGTTGAGAAGACACTACAGAGATTGTAAGATTCCACACCCTGGGCTGTTCACTGTCCGTTGTATATATAACCTGGGCTCCCGTGTAGGAGTATATATGGGTGTTGGGCTGAGTTTGATTTTATCTTTATGAACTTCAGGTTGTGGCAGAAAGCAAACATTCAGCCATGCTGCCCAGCGTCCTAGATAAGTTTGTCAGCTTCCGAACCAAAGTGCGCAATTTTGCCCTCGCTACCCCTCCTGAAGGCACCATCGCATTGTCAGAAGGCGCAGAGCAGCAACAGAAAGAGGAAAGGCGGCGGCTGTTGCAGGAAAGAGCTCCCCTTCTCCAGGCATGCGACAGTCTTCGTCAAGACCTAGCACACTATGGAATCAGCATAAAGGTTTGCCGTCCTTCCACCCAAATGCTAGACATTTTGATTATTTCACCTCTGTGGGATGTCTTAGGGAGAGGGCTTGCTTTCCTACTTTTTCTTCACCTCATGAACAGTGAGCTCTCATCTTTGTGCCACGAATGGTTCTGAGGGAATGGAAGGCCCCGTTGGTTTATGTTGGACTCTCACATTTTCAGAACTTGGAAAAAATTACTTTTTTTTCCTTTTTCACTTGGAGAAGACTTCGGTGACAGGTTGGCTGGGAGGCTGTAGTTTTAGTCCTAAAAAACAAATCTCAAAATGTGCCTGATACAACCGAGCTATCCCTTGAGCCACCCTTGAGCTGTATGTACTATAGTTCAAAGCGTAAGAAAAACTATTGAAATTAGAGAGAATCTGTTCTTAGGAAGTCCCACTGAAACATTAAAAGTACTGTACTCAGAAACTCTTGCACTTGAACCATGAAAAGCAAAATAATGGTAGATATAGAGAAAGGGATCTATTATGTTTATTTGTACCAAAAGTCCTAAAGGTAAAAATTTTTTAAAAAGCCAGCAACCTGTGGGCAAAGTCAGCTTTGCTTATCAATTTGATGGTGAGATGGAGAGTCTTAACAACTCGGAGCAAGCACTGTGCTCTCATCCCACTGGATCTGAAGAGAAACCTTTCATTATAAACCAATACTGTTGCTGAGCTTCTCTGGAGAACAGAAAGCTACTACTAATCTAGCCAATTCTTCGTGGTCTTTGTGAATGCACACTAATGGGTTAATCTGCGCCTGCACAGAGGTTTCCAGAATCTTCTAGAGCTTAACACTCGTTTGCCAGAACTGCCCCCCAGTACACGTGGTGCACCCGGCCTTGCTAGTGTCTCAGTTCTTTTTAGCTGCCGCTGAGGTTCCTTCTCTCAGACGAACTATGTTTACCTCCTGCTTTGAAAAAGGAATTTTCTCATTAGAGATCTTTGGATAGTGAGATTCTTTGTTCTTTCCTTCTGCTGCCCTCCCCTTTCTTTATTTTTAAAGTTTTTATGGCCTCTGGACCATTTAAACGGTGCACTTTGTGCCCCAATAAAATTGCATTCACCGACGGCCACGATTTTTCCTGCCTTTTTTGTTTGGGCAAAGCTTACCAACCAGTTTCTTGCCTTTTTTGTAAAAAGTTTACAAAACAGGCACTTAAGCTAAGGCAGCAACACCTACGATCTTATTTGTGGGAACGTTCCCTTCATCCCATACCGACTATGGAACCTGCACCCCTTTCTCAGGTTCAATTGGTTTCCCCAGGAGCTGCGGTTGCATTTTCAACGAAATCAAAATCTAAGCCTAAGACCGTCACTAAGTCTACCACGGGTGCTTCGGCACCAAAGTCTATATCAGTACTGAAGTCTACTCTGGTACCGGACAAACAGTCCAAACCAAAGAAGCCAAAGAAATCTTCCTCTGATTCTCGATCCTCCAAAGACCAGAAGGACAAGACAACCTCTTCCATCCAGTTACAAGAGCAGCAAACTATTTGCCTCGATTCCATATCTGTGGAAGATGAAGATTATCTGCCTCCACCTTCAGGCCAACCACCTTGACCTCTCTTGGCTCAGTCCCCCTTGTGGGCTAATACCTCGGCTGGTTTACAGTACTGCCTCGTTATGACCACTCGAGCCCTTCGGGTTGCTCTGTCTCTGAGTGTCAGTCGGATTCAGCTTCCATCGCTGATCCTCAACCTCTGTGCAAGCGGACCCAAAAGGCACATCATACACCAGAGGCTGGTCCTACTGATGTCGACACTCCACTTCCATAGACGTCAACGGGATTACTTGCATCCCATGATTTGCTTTCGTGGCACCGTCATGCTAAGAGGGTTACCCTCTATGAGCCACCGGCATATTATGAGCTCCCGCCACACCGATACCATCACTGTCAATACTGGTACTGGCGCCCCAGTAGGGAGGTCTATATGGAGCCTAAGCACCCTCAATACTCCCACTACTATTCCAATTCTTGTTCTGAATCTCCTCTTCCATAACAACCGCGATACCATGATCAGTCCTCCTTGGCAGATGACTCCTCGATATCGGTACTGATATCGAGAGTTCAGAAGTACTCCAGAAAGAGGAAGTGTACCTCCTCGCATCCTTCTTCTACCACACTGGTACTGAAATGTGCTAAACCATCCTCCAAGCACTTGGTACCACGTACCAAACCCGCCACCTGTCCGCAGGTTTGCCCATCATCAGTTCAATTCACCACCACCTATGCGGGTCCTTCATCAGTATCTCATGAGACCAGTCATGTTCATCAATCTAATCAAGCTAAACCACATAATCTACCATTTGGGATCCAGCTCTTAAACAAGCATCAATCAATCAAATCACTGATAGAGTTGATGACCCGTCTTCAGATCATTCTGTGTCCTCACCATCAACGGATTCTGACACCTCTGACTCTGTGGTACTCCTGAAGTCTCATCCTAATCTGCCTACCCCTGACTCTGATGTCACCAATGTGAAACCTTCCTCTCCATCAGAAGACTGATGCTGCTTTGAAGCACATGGCCACAGCTGTTGCCCTTCAAAGACATGCTTGGCTCCGCTCAGCCCATATCTCAGATGATTCTCGCATGTGGATTGAGGATCTACCATTTGATGGACTTGGCCTTTTCGACACCAGGACCAATGAGATCCTTGATAATCTCCAAAAAATGAGGAAAACTGCAAGATCTTACAATACTCAACCTTATTACAGGCCCCAGCATTACCAATGGCGTCGCCCATATCCTTACCAGCAATACAGATCCTTTTCTGATAAACAGAGATACTTACCACAAGCTACAGTACATCTACGTTCCAGACTTGCCATTCCGCTCAACATCCCTGTCAGTATTTTCGTCGCCCTGCCAAAAAACCAAAGCAGAGTCTTTGACTTTCAAGTCACCCGGTCTCTCCCACTCCACTTACCACATCCTCATCAAACTCACCTCGCTGCCCATTTTTCATCATGGGCTGCCATCACCACCAACAAGTGGGTCCTCACTATCATTGCCGCCAGTTACGCCATAGAATTTGCTGTCCTCCCACCTCCGAGGAGAGTCCTCACTCCATCATCCCATGTTCTCAGCCTAGAAATTCAATCCCTTCTCTCAAAAGATGCTATTTCACCCGTCACCTCACCAGACGCCAACCTCATTTTTTTCTCGAGATACTTCACGGTACCCAAGAGAGATGGTAGTCTCCTCCCTATCCTCGACTGAAGAGACTTGAATTATTACATCTTTCAGCAACACTTCCACATGGTTACTCTAGAATGCATCTTACCTCTTCTCCAGGGCGACGTTTGGTTCGCTGTCATTGACCCAACCAATGCCTATTTTCACATTAATATACACCAGGATCACAGAAAGTTTCTCAGTTTCTCTCTCCAAAATACTGTCTACGAATTCAAGGCCCTTCCCTTCAGCCTTTCTACTGCTCCCTGCGTCTTCACAAAGTGCATGGCCCCAGTAGCAGCCTATCTCTGCACTCAAGGAATTTTCATCTTCTCATACATTGACTGGCTACTGGTGGCCCCCTCCTTTCTTCAAGCACTACCCTTTCCCTCCTCAAGAACCTGGGACTACAGGTCAACAGGGCCAAATCCACCCTTACACCTTCACGCGGGTGAACTATATAGGCGCAGATCTAGATTCCTGCGAAGCGCAAGCCTACCTTCCCCAAGACCATGCTACAAAGATCCATGCTGCCCTTCAGTATTTTAAGCCACACACATTAATCACTGTGCTTCAGACCCAGCACCTCTTTGGACTCATAGCATCTACGTTGGTCATCCAGCACACCCGCCTGAAAATGCGCTCCCTTCAGGCTTGGTACTTGTCCCTCTTCAATCCCATGTCAGACCCACCCTCCATGTTATTGAGGGTTACCCCAGAACTTGCAGCACAGCTCCAATGGTGGAACACGCCAGCCAATCCTTTCATGGACAGACCCTTTGCACCTCTCCAACTTACCATACAGATAACAACTGATGCAAGCCCGACAAGATGCAGTGGACTGAGCTTTCACGTTCTTATATGGTCTCCCTCCAAGAAACTGCTTCACATAAACAACTTAGAACTTATAGCCATATTCAAGGCTCTGTGCACATTCAAACCATTGGTCACCGGCACCACTGTTCAGATTATGACAGACAACACCATGGCCATCTTTTATCTCAACAAACAGGGCAGGACACATTCTCTTCCCTTGCTTTCCCTCACCGTTCAGCTCTGGGAGTGGTGTCTTGAGCACTACCTATTCCCAGTAGCAGTTCATATCTCCACTCAACACAATCGTATAGTGGATTCTCTCAGCAGATTCGGTTCGCAAACACACGAATGGTCCCTCGAAGACTCCATCTTTTGTCAACTAACCACTGTATGGGGACAACCACTCATAGGCATCCTTCAGTCTCGAAAGACTATGGTAAC